GGATAGCCCAGGGCATCCCAAACCCCTGCAGTTTAGTGAGATGACTCCCACAACGTGTATCTTACCAGTGTCTTGTATCTCTGGCCCCCTGTCTGCTGTAAACATTTCTGTCAGTGCCCTATCTTCTATTGAATTTGTGTCTGGAGATCAGAGTCCTCCTTTAGTCAGTCAGAATTTATCCACGGTCACTGTAAATAAGAAATTGGGGAAAACATACAAAGAAGGAAACAATTATGCTAATATTTATTCCTTCTTCCCACTGAGACTCTTGAAAACAGCAGTGTGATACAGGAAGACTGACACACTTGAGACAAAGCAGGGAAGGGACATACACAGAGTTGTTCAGTGAAGAGTTTGCAGTCATCTAGAAGGGACTGTGCTTTGTCAGAAGAGTAAAAGTGATCAAGAGGTTTTGTTCGGTGTGGTTGCCTATTACAGTCAGGAAGATCAGTGAGAGGAAAGCTGGGAAGGCCCCGGAGCACCCATGGCAGTTGCAACAGAAGAGGCTGTATGCCCATGGAAAGCAAGAGCCCACCTGGACCACTGCTGCAGCTCTGACTCCCACTACAAAACCAACCCTCACAATGTTTTCATCCCCTGCAAGACACTGGCCAACTCCTCCACCCATGCAAACAGCAGAGCTGTAGAGGGCAATGCTTCCAGAGCAGCGGGACCACGCATCTCCGCTACGTGAGTAGACGCAGAGTCTAGGTACGGAAGGGATCTGTGGTTAGTATGGTACTGCTGATGGAGCCTTACGTGTTAGCTGCTGCCTACTTGATACTCCAGGTATCTTCCTCCCTGTTTCCTGGTGGCCCAAGAGCAGCTGAACCGGTGTCACCAGCCTTAGCTTCCCCTGACACCAGCTGTATTCTCTAGCTGTGTTTCTGCTGGAGATATTTGCCCTCTACCCCTGGGGGGACCTCTCCCTCAGGTTGTAATCCTCCTCTAATCACCCATAATTGAGAAAGACTTGTCTGAGTCGTCAATGATTTTTGTAGTGCTTGCTTTTTCCAACCATCTGTTAAAACCTTTCTGCAGTCCCAGATGGTGCTGGTGCTAGGCCCAAGTAAATGCAAATTACGCACATCATGCCTAAGAACATAAGATCTTGTTACATCTCAGCTCCTCGCGTAGGGTCTGTGTAGGGGCAGAGCTTTTGCTGTGCTTCAAGCTCTCCTGGTCCTTTGTAAGGGTAGCAGCAGGGTGAAGAGGTCAGCAGAAGGCAGCAAATAAATTGATTCCTGTGAAATTTGTATTTCCTTTTTGGGGTAATGGCGATCAGCTGGGAATTTTGGCAAAACCTTTTGTGGATTTTTCTTGCGGAGTTAAAACACACTGCAGGATTTTTGCCTTCTTGGCTCCAGTTTCCCTCTTCTCCTGCCAGATATCATTATAAGGATTCAAGAAGGACGAGTAATTAAAACCCATGCAAAGAATGTGTCTGACAATGAAATTCAAATATCTGCCTGATGAGGCAACATAGGTGACAGACTACAGAGCTCCCGGAGCATCCGCTTGTGCCCTGCGATGGCAGGAGGGACCCTGGGGGTTCACCCCATGCCTGGGGACCCTCAGAGAAACATAGAATTGCTTTGGTTGGAAAAGACCTTTAAGATCAAGTCCAACCTTTAACCAAACCCTGCCATCCTAGATGACCTCTAGGGGTCCCTTCCAACCCAAAACATTCTATGATTCTATGATTAATCCCACCACTAAACCATGTCCCTAAGAAGGGACCTTCCACGCTGGGGACCCAGACGTTGGGGACCAAGAGCCTGGTGCCCTCGAGGCCGCAAGGGTGCCACCGATGCACCCTGAAACCTCCTTGCTCCAGCCCTGGGGCGGCCCTGGGGTGAGGGGCTGGCGGCCCCTGAGACCCCCACAGAGCCGGGACACCCTGAATAGCAACAAGGATGAGGAAAAAAAATAATGGTTTTCCTCAGGAAATAAAAGAAAATAGGAGTATAAGGGGAAAAAACAGGGGGTGACACCCCAGAGGGTGC